TATTGGTTGAAATGCGTTTACATTAAGCATAAAAAACAATATATTATTACTCTATAACAAAGTTACTATGTAGCAAATCTGAAATGCTTTTTTGTCACAAAATGTAATTATCCAATTGATCATAGTGTCACAAAATTTAACTATTATCACCTAGCTACTTAAACTGTCCAGCTCTAGCCACATACAGTACATACAGTATACCCTCGTCAGGCAATAAATATTATACAGCATATCTGACCTGCTTGATTGCTTGTATATTCGCAAAATGTAAACTATATTATTGGCCAGCTCTAATCTGCTAAAGGCAAATATAAGGCTTGAAGATATTATAGGATGTTATAAACATGAACATCATGATTTGTACAATATTGTTCCATATTTGCCCCTACATGGTGCACATTAGTACCTAAATGGTACATAATAGTTCCTTTTGAAAGGGTACTACCCCAGCGACAGCTTTTGTACCTTTAATTGTCATCATATTATTTTGACTTATTGTCAATCATAAACCTCCTGATTTGTAGTGCAAAAAAGTAGTTATTTAGATTCAGAAATCTCGAACAATCACAGAAAATAGCTTACTTCCACATTGCAAAATAAGGTGGATACTTATGGTAGCAAACTTTTAAGGGGGAAAAAAGGAAGTGTGCAAATTTCACACCGTTAGCATTGGGCTGATGATGCACGGGGCAATTTTTGAGCAATATTGCTGGGTAATTGTTGGCGTCAAGGGGCAACCAGGTGAGACACATAGGGCCCACAACCGATTTAAAGTATCCATATAGAAATGTGTTAACATAACGTGTTTTGAGCACAAAAAATTGCTCAAAAAGTTACCCCGTGTACCATCAGCCTTAGGCACGTTTTCCGAAGCCACTAACTGTTATTGCGTTTTGTCCCAGGTACAGCAGGGAAAACTTTCAACACATGTATAAGTGTTTTTTTCTTTCTTTTTTCATAAATCTTTGTAGATTTGACACTTCCCAAGACCTCAACGCTCTGCCTGGACAAGCCTTGCCAAAACAGGGCAGAGTGCAGGGAAGCCCCATCTGACTTCCTGTGCCAGTGTAAGTCGCCTGCGCCAGTCCTGCCCAGCACGCGTTGTGATTCTTCCAGTGCGCTCTGCCAACTGTCCATCTGCCAGGGCAATGCGACGTGTCAGCCCACCGGTGCCCACCCGGGGGAACTAGTTTGCCAGTGTGAGCCCGGCTTGTTGGGGCAGGACTGTCATTCCAGTGCCCAGCTCTGCGCTCAGGGGCTGTGTGTGGACACTTCCCAATGTCTGGCGGTGCAAGGCAGGAGCCCGGGGTACGCATGCATCTGTCAAGAGGGTTACACCGGGAGTTCTTGTGAGAAAAAGGTGGACCACTGCTCCCCCAACCCCTGCCGCAACCGCGCCATCTGCCGCAGCAGAAGGGACGGCCCCACCTGCTTCTGTGTGCCGGGATTCCAGGGTAAACACTGCGAGATCGAGGTGAATGAATGCGTGTCGTGGCCCTGCAGGAACGGAGCCACCTGTCTGGACAAGATCGGGCACTACATCTGTCTCTGCAGGCCTGGATACACGGGTAAGTGAAGGGAGGGAGGGTCGGGTGCACTGTTGCCATGTGCAACTCACCTGTTAGTCTGACATGTGGAATGTCTCGAGTAGTGCCAAATGCAGCCACTGCCATTGAGTGGCCGAATGATGGTACTGCAGCCTGAGACGCAACCCTGGAGAACATCCTGGAAGACTGTTGACATTTGCTTTTAAACATGCAAAGATCTAGTTTAATATAACTTATTAAAGAAGCTATCAAGTTTAATACCTAAATATATATATGTTTTTCTTTGATGATATAATGAGTAAGGGAGAATGGGGTTAGTTTGCTTCCCTAGTGAATATTTCTCAGGGTGGGTTTATTTTTTTAAGCCAATTTCTTTTTAGACACCTACCTTAAAGACTCTACTACAAAAATGCTATTAAACTTTTTCATCTTTATTTTTTCAGGAATAAAAAAGTACTCTTTATTGCACACATGTAGTAGTGGGGTATGTTGTCACAATGGAAACTTGATATTTATTGACACTTATTTGAGAATATTGTAATTAAATAAGGTTACACCTAATTGTAAGGACAAATAAGCTCTGAGTAGTATTAAAGAAACAGTTCACCCAAAAATCATTTACTCATCCTTATGTCGTTCCAAACCTGTATGAATTTCTTCTTCTGCTGAACACAGAAGAAGATATTTTGAAGAATGTGGGTAATCAAATAGTTTATGGTAGCCAATGACTTCCACAGAATGGAAAAAAATATAGTGGAAGTCAATGGTCACTGTCAACTGTACTTACTGTAGTGTTAGGGTTTGGTTTAGGTTTAAATGCTTGTAATTATGCATAATGTACTGTTATTACTGTAGTACGTACATGTAAAGTGTGACTGTCATGTCAAAATTAAGTGTTGCTCTAAAAAATTATTACAATATAATATTAGAGTTTTCGTTTGGAGAACAGAATTCACCGAAAAAAAATAGGGTTTTGAACTAGGAAAACTGAAATTTGACAACTTCCTTGTGTGACAACAAGCCCCAGTCTCTTAAAACTTACATGATGTGAAAATTCACAATTCAGATCTGCTTGAAAAATATTTTTGATCAAGTGAAGGAAAAGCTGTGGGCAGCATATCAATAACCCTGAAGACTGACTGGAAGCTTCCAGTTACAGTCTGTTTGATCCAGGATGAGGCCTGTCCAGATGGCATGTGTAATAAGCCATGCAGAGATCTCGACAAAAAGCAGACTGGCATCTTTGCACTCAACACCACTGTCTCTGATGTTCCAGGTAGCAGCTGTGAGGTTCAGATTGATGAGTGTCAATCACAGCCCTGTCTCCACGGCGGCAGTTGTCATGACCACATCAATGGCTTCTGGTGTACCTGCCTGGTGGGCTTCCAGGGGGAGCACTGTGAAACGAACATCGATGAATGCAGTGACCAGCCATGCCGAAATGGGGCTCTGTGTGTGGATGAAATAAACAGGTACAATACATTTCCATCCATGTTAGGAAATAACATGCTTTTCAATTCATCTATTCTAAAATCTATCATAAAATTTTCAAAACACTTTAATTAGACTTGTCTGATAATTAGAATAGTAAATAATTATATTTTAATAGTTTTAAATATTAGTAATTAGTATAAATCAATTATCCATATTATTTTTGGGGGTTAAAATAAATGATAAACAATATATAATTGATAAAACTAGTCCCTCAGACAGTAGGTAAACAACATGCACTATATTGCTGTGTTTAAAATATAATATGCTGAATCATTCTGTGAATGTACTCAAAACGAGTATACCCAAAATGAAATAACATGCATATTTATTTTGAAATAATCTTGTAGCTACCGCTGTGACTGCTCACAAACTTACTTTACTGGCATTGACTGTGAGATCCCACCACCTCCCTGCTGGTCTCAACCCTGCCTCAACGGCGGTCTCTGTGAGGATGAAAATGGGAACTACACCTGCAGTTGCTGGGCAGGTGACTTGCATAGGGCTCATTTGTGTAAACTGGAATATAATTAGATTAATAGATTGAATTTAGAATGAAATATGGTGACTCTGTACTTTTTTTTTTAGAAACAAGAATGCACATTATTGGTAGATGTTGTAAGGGTTTTTATTATTTATTATTAGCTCTAAAAAGGGAAATATTTATGACGAATTATAACGTCTTTATGTGTGTGTGTTTGTGTGTGTGTTAGTTTGCTTGGTCGGTCAGGCCAATTGCCTGGCCATTTTCAGCTCTTTTGGACAGTGTTTGAAGTCAGATGGGGGAGATGATAGTGGGGGCTGGTTAGAATCTCCTTGACGGCGAGGAACCATTTGGCAATTTAAAACCCCTATACAAACGTAAAGTCTCTGACCAGAACTGTAATTTATATGCAAATGTCAAAAGGCTAAAAGGGTCCCTTAAGCCATAAACACCCAAAGATCATGCATGATTCTACGCAGACGCTACAATGTATTTCTAATGTATAATCTACAATGTAGATGTGATATTTATTTGTTTATTTGAGAAGTCATGGTAAAGGCTTTAAATAATTTAGTCAAACTAGGACACTAAACTTCATTAGGTTGTCTCTCTTATCTGCGTACCAGGGTTTGAGGGTCGTAACTGTGAGACAGACGTTGGTGAGTGTGATAGCAGTCCCTGTGTGAATGAAGGCACTTGCATTGAGCTCTCTTGGAAGACACTTTATGGCACTGAACCCTTGTTTCCTACTCGATACAACCCCAGGCATGCTTCCGGCTTCATCTGCAAGTGTCCACCAGGATTTTCAGGTATCTGCAAACTCACAGCCCCATTCATATTTTTTGTACACGTTTATTTACCAAATATGAAACTGTTTTCAATTTAGGATCAAGACTAATTTCTGTTTTTTCAGAGGTTTGTGTTAGTGCCACTCATGTATCTCAGGACATTTTCTTATACAACCGTTTTTGAAAGAAATAGTTAAAGAAGGGTTTAAAAAATCCAGGACTGTCTAAAGAAGATCAACAGATCACTGTAAAGGCTCTAAAGTCTTTAAAAATCAATAACCGATGGACAACTGAGTCAAAATCTGTTTTTAATGCCTGGTTAAATTCTTGGCAAAATGTTGCCTATAATGAGCATATAATAAGCATCATCAGGTTGTTGCAACTGTAAATCAGAACTGTCTTGGGATTCTGTTCGGTTTGCATAATCAAAACCAAATCTTCCATTATACAATACATCTTTCAACACAAATTCACTCTACTGGTTCCTAGACTAAACTACTAAAATATAACTGCAAAATTACTTTAAATTTTTAGATTAAACAAAAGTGTCTGTCTTTCTGAACATCAGGTTACCAGCTCAGGACATGACTCAGAGGCGGAGGCTATAATTGGGCTTCGCCATTGTAAGATGCTCAGGTTGAATTAAGCTAATCCCCCGGAAGCTGGCTTTGATGGGGGCCTAGTGTTGCAGTCCACAGTTTTTCTTGAAGGAAGGAATGTACACTGACGGCTGTCTGTTAGGATGGTCTATTGCCATCAAAAAGCAATGAGAATGGTAGACGTCTAATGCCATGGAAGTTGTAGTTTGGATTTGGAGTGTTCTGTTGCTCATTTCAGGTAAATTTTCACTTCTTTTAAGATTTCACTTTGGTTGTATGATCAATCTCAGTGTGAATTCAGTGGTGAAATAAGCTGTGTTGTGGGGAACATTTTATTAGGCTAGTGAAAAGTCTTTCTGGTTAAACATACAATGAGCTTGCAATGACTTTAGGTCATCACTGTAACTGTGTTCACGGTTTCCATGTGATGCATTATACACAGCTCCTTAATGTTTTATCCAGGCATTTTAAACTCATTCAGTAACTAAATTCTCATTCAATGAAAATTTTAGGCACTTTTTGTAAGAATAAGAAAACTCAGCTGGCAGTCACACTGGCATGAAGTTGCATGAGTGTTATGCAACCAGCTTTGCATATTTGTTGTCCTGAGGGATTATTGACTAAAACGTGCCAATGTTATCCCTGGCATGAGCTACTCTTAGTTACAGACACAAAATTGGCACAAAAAGCAGCAAATAGTTTTAAGGATAAACTCTTATAAAAACAATAAGAACTTGTTTTTTAATTGCAGCGAGAAAAGTTCATTCTTGGGTAACAATCTTTGTTAAACATTTATTTGTAAGGAATTAAATTCCACTCTGGGCTCTCCTCTTTCAGGTGCCTTGTGCGAGCAAAATAGCACTGCTTGTACCACCAACCCGTGTCATAATGGAGCCATATGCAAGGACTTCCTGGGCAGCTACAAGTGCATCTGCCTGTCTGAAAGCCAAGATGGAATTCTCTATGGTGGCCGCAATTGTAGTGAGCCCCTGGTGGGTTGCGAGGGTCACGAGTGCCAGAACGGGGCGGCCTGCATGCCCTTCCTGAGCGAAGGTGTACATGGCTACAGTTGCATCTGTCAGCCGGGCTACACCGGCTCTTACTGCCAGACACCCACCGTATTCTCCTTCGAGACAACTGGAGGATTCCTGCACCTGCAGACCCCGCTGCTGGGTGCAGAAACATACTTCAATATCACGCTAAGCTTTCGCACGGTGCTGAAGAACACATTGCTCTTTCAGAGGGGCAGCGAAGGGGTCACACTCAGCCTGGAGCTGCAGGAGACACACCTGCTTCTTGATCTTAGGAGTGACCCTCAGCCAAACGCAACCAGCTGGACTCTGACACTGCCTCAGGATGTATCTGATGGCGAATGGCACACGGTAGAGGCCGTGCTTGGAGTGGGTACCCTGCTGCTACAACTACTGGAGCCATGCCAGGATGGAGATAACTGCAGTGCAACAGCCCAACTAGAGACCGGTGCCCTTGAGCTGGAGTCAGCCCTGCAAAGCACCATTGTTGGAAGATCAGATGAGGGAGGGGGCTCTGGCTCATTCATAGGCTGCATGAGGGACTTGTTTGTGGACTCACAGCTGATGGTACCAGAGGACTGGTTGAGCAGCTCAGTGGTGAATGTCGAGCAAGGCTGCAGCCATCATGACCGATGCCTTTCTGGTCCATGCGAGAACCTTGGAAAGTGTGTTAACCTTTGGCTAGGTTACCAGTGCTTGTGTCTGCGACCATATGTGGGTCAAAACTGTGCTGAGGGTAAGAGTACCAGGGACTGACCTCCCATATAACATGTCTACACTGGAAATATCCACTGTGGTGTTGTGAATGGCCTGTCTATTTTAGCACAATAGAGATACGCCGTAGATGCTTCTACTGTAGACACATTGATAGCCTTGCAATAAATGTAGAAGATCACAGGATAAACCTTGGGAGATGCTTTATGTTTCCTCTAAGGGTCCAAGTTGCGAGAATAGTTCTAGAAACCCTTTAAGAGTTGTATGTCTTCTCTTTCTCATACAGAGTACGTTACTGCTAGATTTGGCCAGGAAGACTCCGCAAGCTATGCCGTCTTCACCATCACCGACCAACTGGAATCAGATACGCTCTATCTGTCCATGTTCTTGCGTACAAGGAAGGAGTCTGGTCTTTTGGTACTGCTTGCCAACAGCACCACTGAGTACTTGAAGATGTGGCTGGAAAAGGGAAAACTCATGGTGCAAGTCAACAACTTGAAGACTTTAATGGGTAAAACTGTGGTTAATAATGGTGAGATCCATTTTGTCGGCATCACCATTAAGGAGGGTATGATGACTCTGCAGGAGTCAGATCATGAATTCAGAAGAATGGATGTTCAACCTGTTTCCCTTCAGTTTGAGGATGTGGTCTATGTTGGCGGACTGCTTGATGGGCATGAGACATCTGCCTTTGGTGGTTATTTTAAAGGGTGCTTACAAGACTTGCAGCTCAATGAGAGGAAGCTAGAATTTTTCCCACTTGATGCTTCTGTGATGTCATACAGACCTGACCGCATGGTTGATGTTACCCCAGGCTGCACCAGTGATGACTCTTGCTCTGTAAGTTACAATGTTTCATTAGACCTCAAAGTGTCAAGAGCTCTCAAATGAAATAGGACAATGGTTAGGTTACACCAGATCATGCAGATATATGAACATAACCTACTTATCTCAATTGGCTTTTATCCTCCTTGGCCTAGATTAAGGTTTACATCTATGACTTTGGTCATGTTAATCAAGAAACTAATCCCAAACACTGGGCAGATTCAAAAGATTTTTTTGATCCAATTTAATTCACTAATCCAATAAATGAATAATCAGTTCATGTATGTCCCTGAGTATTCAACACCTTATAATTCATCATGTATAAATTGATGTGTTGACTCTAGAAATATTATCATATGATAGTATTTGTAAACATATGGTTCCCTGAAATATGTGTGGTTAGCTGCCTTTTGTTAGCAACTAGTAGTGTAGTTAACTACAATGTTTAAAAGGTAGTTTGACAGTAGTTTTAACCAGTGGGGAAAAGCTTTCCAAGCTACAAGCTATTTTTGATTCCAAACACTTTATCTTACTACTTCTAAATCTTTTCTTATGGTTAATAAAATAAATAATATTTAAAAAAATTAAATGGATCATTTAATTGACAGTTTTGTGTGTCATGTTTGTCTTTCCATTCCAGAAAAATCCTTGCCAGAATGGTGGAATTTGCTTCTCTCTATGGGATGACTTCAGATGCAACTGCCCTCCAAGCACAAAAGGGCAGCACTGTGAGGAGGTGAGATGGTGCGAACTCACCCCCTGCCCACCACAAGCAACATGCCGGACCCTCAAACAGGGCTATGAATGTGAGTATTTTAGAACATCTGAAATCAGAAGTATAAAACACAGTAGTCAAAAATAATTAAATATTGGTTTGAATACTAAGTCAAAATTAATGGTTATATAATATAAAATGCAGTATTTTGGATTAATAATCTTCCAGATTTAAATTGTAGACTAGGCTCAGGAAAGAGATTTGTTAAGAGCATCTAGCAGACTTTAACTTTAAGATTGCATCTAGCAGACTTTAAGATTGTTTTGCGAATAAATCCTTATACCTAAAGTGTTACATAAACTATGTCTGCTTTTATTTTATGTAGGCATTTCAAATGTGACTTTTCAAGACAATACCACTCTTGTATACCATGGGAATGGGTTGATCTCCCGCCACCTGGCCAGCATTGTTTTCAGTATCCGAACACGTAAACGCAATGCAGCAGTGTTACATGCAGAGAGTGGGTCTGACTTTGTTACGGTATCCATTCAAGATGGCTTTCTGGTGCTAGAGCTTCTTAGTGGACCTTCTTCTTCATCATCTTTGTCACCGGTAACCCTGCACAGCCCAAGACCAGTAGCTGATGGAGAGTGGCATGTAGTAGAACTGTCAATGGCCAGTCCTTGGGCTAACTACTCCCAGTGGATCATGGTCCCTCTTGATGAAAAGGACGAGCCTACTATATCTGACGGCATGACCGGAAATCTAGACTTCCTTCGAGAAAGTGTTGATATCCTTCTAGGAGGACTTGGCCCAAAGTCTGGCTGGAATCTGATTGGTTGTCTGAGTAATGTTGAGATTGGTGGTATTGTGCTTCCGTATTATGGTCCTGCCGAGGTGAGATTCCCGCGTACACAGGAAGAGAAGTTCAATAAGTTATCGGAAGAACCTGTCCAAACTGGCTGTGTTGGTGAGGTGGTGTGTGAACCCAACCCCTGCCTGCATGGGGGAATCTGTGACGATCGCTTCAACCTTTTCCAATGCTTCTGTCTACCTGGCTGGGGCGGTGATCACTGCGAACTGAATACAAACACCTGTGCCTCCAACCCCTGTCAACATGGACACTGTAGTGTGCAGGACCTTTCATACAGCTGCATGTGTGAGAGTGGCTACACCGGCACCAACTGTGAGGTGAAGGTGGACGTATGTGCCAGTCACGAGTGTGTTAATGGTGGGACCTGCTTGCGTGGCTTCAACAGCTATTCCTGCCTCTGTCCCGACAGGTTTACTGGGCCGTATTGCAAGTGAGTCTATTCTAATTTTTGTCATGGAGTTGACTTGTTCATTACTACTATTGGTCTTTACTAACTTGGGTTAGGGGATTTGTGCAAACCCCTAAATTAGGGTTCTTCAAATCTGACCTGGAAGGCCAGTGGCCTGCACTTTAGCTCAAACCCTAATCAAACTGGCGGTAATTTATAAGGCCTTCATTAGCTTGCTCAATGGGCTGGACAACTTCGGTTGGCCTGCAGAGTTTAGCTCCAACCCTAATCAAACATACCTGAACAAGCTAATCATTGTCTTCAATATCACTAGAAAGCTACAGGCAGGTGTGTTTGATTTGGTTTTCGAGCTAAACTCTGCAGGACAGTGGCCCTCCAGGACTGAAGTTGCCCAACCATGCTCTACAGGGTAGTGGCCCTCCAGTGCCAGATTTGTGGAATCCTGTCCTAACCCTAAGTATTAAACATTGGCTTGTGACTGGTTCCATCTTTACCCTGTTGTGATAGAAACATAAGTGATCCCTCAAAGTGTGCAGTTGCTTATCAAAGCGCTTGGACTTGGTGGGTGGGCGATTAAACAGTTAAAAAGAATCCGTAGGCTTACCTTAAAAGAGGAACCCGAGGCATATCTAGGGACCAAAATATCTTTGAGAAATGAAGGTGAGCTCTTCTGCCTAGTAAGCTACCACCGAAACCACCGTAGCATTGTGGTGGTGAATTTGGCCAAGAAAGCACTGCTTTCTTCAATGTAAGAATCTATTTAACTGAGCTGGTTTATGAGTTACCGTCTAACTTTAGCAGATTTTGTGGAGGCTGTGTGCATCCAAAAATCTGATTTAAGGCTTCTACACCAAGGCAATTCACAGATATGTCTGCAAGGAATAGTGTTTGTCCCTTCTGCAAAACATTGAACCAAGTCAAAAAGAGACTTGCCTTAGATATGAAATCAACCTGGTGTTAAAAAGCCATAGCTCAAGAAGCTACTCCCTTTTCAAAGAAAAGAGAATGCAAAACAGAAATTTACTTTGTACATGGAAACAGGCCACAAACCTCACACAATGATTCCCATCAAAATAAGAAAGCAACTTGAATGAATCAAGACCCCAAAGAGACTGATTTGTTATAAAGGTAATGCAAATCATATAATTGCTTTTATGGTGTTGTTTATGCTAGCGTGGCTGCAGAGATGTGCCTGTTGCCATACGTGTCATTTGAAAGCAGTAATGGTAATACTAGTCTCTGTTGAGAGTACCCATCCTCCAGTGGTTGTGTTAGGCCTTCAGGGTGGCATCTAAGGCAAGTCTGCAGCCATTTATCTCATAAACATGTTTTGTTGCCAGACTGCTTCATAGCACTCCTTTGAAACTGCCTTGCAGGCAGCCGGGAGACATAATAGATCTATCTTTTCCCCACTGCAGAGTTAGAGAGATCTTTGGTGTAAAGTTTTGCTGTTAAAAAAAAGAATGACACTTGCTGTTTGTTTGTGTCTTTCCTGTTCCCTCTGTCTCACAACAGCACTCAGATTGAAGAGGCTCCGTGGTACGTAGTTGTCAGGAGCATGTAAGTGCCGTTTTACTATTGACTTGTTTTTAGATTTATCCTCTTTTTTTATATATCCTTCCTTTATTTGTTCTCCCCTTCCTTCCTTCCTTGTACTTCCTTTTTTACTATCGACCCCCCTTTTCTTGCCATCCTTGCTTTCCTCATTTCCTTCCTTCATTCACTTTATTTCTTTCTTCCTTTATCCTTCCTACTTTCATTTCCTTTTGATCTTTCTACCCCTTCTTTCTTGCCTTGCCTTTCTTCCCTCCTTACTACTTATTTCCTTCATACTATCCCTTGTTTCTTGCCTCTTTCCCTGCTTCATACCTTCCCTCCATTATTTCTTTCTTCCTGCTTTCCATTCTCTCTATATTTTCATCCTTGCATTACTTCCTAATTTTTTCTGTCTGTATTCCTTCATTCTTGCATTTCTGTTTTTCCTTCTCTTTTTTGACTTCTCCCTACCTTCCGTCCTTTTTCCTTCCTTCCTTCCTCCTTCCTATTCTTCTATTTCTCTCCATTTTTCTTTTTTCTTTCCTTCTCCCTTCTTTTCTCCCTCCCTATCCTTTCTCTGCATAATTTCCTTTTTAATTCCTTTTTATCCTCTCAGTTTCTTCTTTTCTCCCTTGATATCCTTTACTTTCTCTCCATATTTTTTCTTTCTTATTGACTTGTTTTTAGATTTATCCTCTTTTTTTATATATCCTTCCTTTATTTGTTCTCCCCTTCCTTCCTTCCTTGTACTTCCTTTTTTACTATCGACCCCCCTTTTCTTGCCATCCTTGCTTTCCTCATTTCCTTCCTTCATTCACTTTATTTCTTTCTTCCTTTATCCTTCCTACTTTCATTTCCTTTTGATCTTTCTACCCCTTCTTTCTTGCCTTGCCTTTCTTCCCTCCTTACTACTTATTTCCTTCATACGATCCCTTGTTTCTTGCCTCTTTCCCTGCTTCATACCTTCCCTCCATTATTTCTTTCTTCCTGCTTTCCATTCTCTCTATATTTTCATCCTTGCATTACTTCCTAATTTTTTCTGTCTGTATTCCTTCATTCTTACATTTCTGTTTTTCCTTCTCTTACAGCTTTCTTTTATTCTTTCTTTCTTTCTTTCTCCCTTGCTGTCCTTTACTTTCTATCCACACCTTTCTTTTATTCTTTCTTTCTTTCTCCCTTGCTGTCCTTTACTTTGCATATCTGTCTTTTCTTTCTTTTTCTTTCTTTTATTCTTTCTTTCTCCCTTGTTGTCCTTTACTTTCTCTCCACAGCTTTCTTTTATTCTTTCTTTCTTTCTTTCTCCCTTGCTCTCCTTTACTTTCTCTCCACACCTTTCTTTTTTCATCTTTCTTTCTTTCTTTCTTTCTTTCTTCTCCCTTGCTATCCTTTATGTTCTCTCCATATATTTTTCCTTTTTATTCCTTCCTACTTCCTTCCTTCATTCCTTTCTTTTTTTCTTACTTTATTTCTTTCTTTTCCTAGAATCCTTTATTTCACATTGTCTCTGTAAAGTAAAAGAAAACCACAATTCAAACTCTTTATTTGTCATATCATATCTTTGTCCTATAACAATAGCAGATTCTTCATATTAGCTGTATGTTAATCCCCATATAAGGCAACGGTTTATTGTATTCTCTTTGTCTTGTGGTCAGAGGTCCATTCACATGCTAATGTCATTATTCTAATCGTGGGCTAATCCTCTTTTGTGCGGGACAAAGCAGCGGGGGGTAGTAGGTAGTAGCCCCTTACATGGCTCTCAAGAGGAGAGGATGGATTCTTCATCATCTGTTATGTTTCTTTCTTTCCCCTCATCCTCCCCATCCCCAGACCGCCCAAGCTCCCGGTGTCCATCTGTGGTGATGAACAGCAGAACTACACATGTTTCAATGGGGGGAACTGTTCTGACACCAACATGATGTGTGACTGCCTCCCTGGGTTTTCGGGTCACTGGTGATTATTCCTTATTTATTATTATTCTTTCTTTGTTCACAAGTTCTCATATGTTAATGCATTTTCAGAGTAGTAATTATGCCATACTATTATTAACCAGTTATAGAATGTGTGGAATATTCATATTTAGAACCAAATATTAACAACAACAATAGCCGTAATATTTAAGTTAGTAATAATAAGGTTTGTTTTCACTATACATCTGTCACTTAGGTGTGAACTAGATCTTGATGAATGTAGATCCAACCCTTGCTTGAATGGTGGCTACTGCCAGAACATGGTCAACAAGTTCCAGTGTGTCTGTGTAATGACCTTCGCCGGCAAGACATGCGAAGTCGATGTAAGCGACATTTACTTTTACATGGCCGCTTTGTTTTGGCAAAACCTCTTCCAATTTCTCTCCTACGTCATTCTTCGCTTAGACGATGAACCAGAGGTAGACTGGGGTGACAACGAGTAAACAGGTCTTTGGTGGAGGCTAGGAAACAGGCTAGTGTAATTGCTTTCTACACAGGTTTATTAAGCTGGAATGGAATACCGACTCAAAAAAATGTTGCTTCAAAACTGTTATACTGTATATAAGCTTATAAATATATAAATTGAAATTTAAATGTAATCCAAGTATTTATCAATTAAGTAAATGTAGTTGTAAATATGAAATTGTTGCACAGACAGTATTATTTGTTGGTTTGGGAAAAACATGTGCAAGTGCTCCAGTATTTAGATGACATATCAGTGAAACCGCTTAGTGCTTTAAGATGACACGGTTTTTATAAATGAAACTGTCTAATCCAACGGTTCTTTTTTTACTGTACTTAATGCAGTTCAAGTCAGAATCATAGACTGATTTTCAGGGAAAACATTTTTGAGACAACTTTGTTCACTTTTTAAATGTAGCATTACATAGAGTTTGTACATTTGTAATTTAATAAACAACAATTATTAAATTCATATAGCATGATTTATACTTCTAATAATGATTATGAAATCAGGATTGGAATTAAATTGGATTATTTTATTAAATTATTGAATTGGATTTTAATACAACTAGATGTTGTGTATTGGATTAGCTTTTTTGCAGTATAGTGTAAAGGAGTCAATCCACTGAAGGCGAGCGTAGTGAGAACCCAAGTGCAGTTTATTTACAGAGTGATCCAAACACAGACTTGACTTGACTTGACTTGACTTGAACAGACATAGCATGAGCAGACTTGACACAAACAGACTAGACTCACCAACAGCGGGTTAAATACATTCAATACACGACCAACTCACAATGGGAACATGAAGGCTACTTATAGCAGACAAGGAGGGTCACATGACATGAACAAACCAATGGGGAACAAGACACATTACTAGGACTACCAATCAGAACATGACATGTACACAAGGCAGAGAGACATGAGGCAAGGGAAGCATGACACTAACATGGACCATGAAACAATTACAAAATAAAAGACATGGAAAACATGAACATGAAACAAAACACCACATTACATATAGCAAATAATTAGATTCATTTTAAATTCCATTCCATAATTCCAATTCGGCAACTAATTGAAAGCATCCTGGGAAATAAAGTGTTCTTTCAACACGTAAAACCAAAGTTTATTATATATAACAAATGTTGTTCGATTTTAAAAAGCATTATCATTAATTTCCAACCCAACCCAAAAATGACTTCTAGCACAGAATAGATTTAGCTCATTTCTGTTTAGGGAAGAATAACATTTAATGTTTCATTTCAGCTGTCATTTTTGTGTCAATTCATGATTGTCCTTTCCATTTTCAGAACTGATTTACTGATAACTCATTTTGTATCTTAAAAAAATTAACTACTCTTCTGTAATTCTTTCAATATATTTTAAACCATCAATGTCACAGTAGTTTATAGTGTTCATCTGTCTGTTAGCGTTAGATTGTGTACATTGTGTCTCTGTCTTTAGATGACTGTCTTCAAATAAAACATCCCATCCATCATCGATCTGTTGTTTGTCCTTTGTCGGTTTTGTTTAGCTGTCTCTCTTCTGTCATTACTCATCCAGAGACTGTGCCAGTGGCACATCATGCAGGTTTTGAAGAATGTTGCCACAGATTTTGATAGACAGAGCCACTAAACTAGGCACTGTAAAACCTCTGGCAGGTGTGTTGAGTCAGCAATTTGTGTGTAATCCTGACACCATAGGATGCTGAGACCACGCAAAAGTGTGTACTGTGCAAGTTTGAAACAAGTTGGGAGATTTTTTCCAGATGCAACTTACAGTATTTCAGTTGCTGTGACAGCTTTACTCAGAGTTAAGGGTTTTGGATACACTGGTGATTGCAGGGGAATCACATCGATTTGGTTTACAGTTCACGCCTATGGAATTAGATGCTACTATTTCCGTTCTTTAACCGCTTGGTTTCTTTTACTCTTATAGTTTTACAAAAGTATATTTTTATTTTATTTGAGAATAATAATCTTACTTGATGGTTACCACTTGATGGTTTAGCCAATGCTTGGCTTAAATCAGGCCCTAAAAAACCTTTTACTTAAAGGGATTGACATGCATTTAAATCAGATCATCTTAAAAGTTTTTTCTTGGCAAATATTTCAATAAATTGGCCAAATGATATGTGATTGAGTTGAATATATGATATCAGAACGCTTAACATTATTTTGACTGAATGCGCAGAAAAGCCCAGATAAGTTTAATCTCCTCAAGATGTCCTTATATTCATCTTGTGAGCAGTGTGTAAGTTAAAGAAAGCCACATCCCACTCTTTTAATCCTGTCTAACAGGATAGATGAGGATGAGAGGATCTTATCTCATGCCAAGACATGTTACACAGTGTCGATCTCTGAGCTTTGGTGTTTTCTTAAGGACCTCACTAAATCAAAATAAGATTTTGTGGCTTTTAGTTCACTTCTGCTAGTTTTGAAGCTATCTATATGCTAGGGGTGGGTGATATGACTAAAATCATATAACACATGATATGAGTAACTTTATTTCACGGTAATTATATATAACACAATTTAGTTATTTTTGCTTTAAATAAGGTCTTAATGATATCAAATTTTTTGATACCATAGAAATTTCAGAATTCTTGTCACCAGTGTCTATATATATATATATATATATATACTTATACTAGCCTAAATAAAAAAAAAAAAACATAAGCTCACTGAAGGCAAGTAAACAGTCAGCGATTAAATAATAATAAGAAACTAATTACAAGCAATAAAACTACATTAGGACAAATGTATAAAAACACTGCATATTCTTCACTGTGCAAATTACATTTTTCTTCTTATTAAAGTTACAAAGTGATTTAAACAAGAGCAGTGGGAGATTTTTTCTCTTTTGTTGTTGGATTAACATGAATGACAGACAGGAGGAATATTAGACTGCTGTCACTTTAAGAGCTGCCCGGCTCTAATGTTACACATGTGTTTTCTATCTCAGCTGTCTGCTTTCACTTAAGAACTAAATTACTGCGTTTACATAGATACTTGCAAAGATGGGCATATTGACACATACAAGTGTATATATGTGTAAATAACTCAATTCTCAATGTTCAATTCTCCCACGCACCTTTCTGACAGCGCTCAGATACAGTCTCTCAAAGAGCGCGCAAATATAGCGAAATAAGTTTTCTTTCGCTGCTTATTGCATTTCAACAACTTAAAATCACTTTTAAGCTGCACAGCAACGTCATGTGCACATCACCATCAGGGCAGTATTTTTCTGGAATAAAACAACGACGCTGTTTATATTATAGTATAATATTATATTTTGCATATTGTGGCAAAATAAATTGGTGCACAGACACCTGCGCAGGTAGCCTTAAATGAATTAGTGAATTGTTCTATTGAACCGGTGCAACCATTTGCACGAACTGATTCACTGAAATGAATCAGACTTAGCGATTGAAAGAATGTCAGTTTGCTTGGATGTAAATCTGAATGTGCAAAGTTACAAAAATAGTGAAAAATAACACCAATGCTTCTTCGAGTTCATTAAAATCGAATGACAAATCTGAACTGACACATTATCACTATAAAATGATTAAAAAAAAAGATTATTAGAGTACATTTTACAATAAAATACTATTTAAGTCTTTCTACTTAAAGTTTTACGTTTAATTCAGTGTTACTTGTTTCCTTGTAATTAAAGAAATTTACTAGCAATTTCAGAGTTAAAATTGTTTTAAAGTAAATCCAACACCATTTTTCCCAGTTTACATAAAGTTATAGTGTCACTACTCCACAACATACCTATATAGAGAGAGAGAGAGAGAGAGAGAGAGAGAGAGAGATAGATAGATAGATAGATAGATAGATAGATAGATAGATGTCAACTTGGAAAGGACAATTGCATTGTCACAAAAATTAAATGTCCCTGTAGTGTTGTATCTGATGTATCAGGTGTTATTAAAGGTTTAAAAAAGGGTATTAGCTGCAAACTGGTTCACAGGATAACTTTATATTTCATACAGTTCTATTACTATTGCAATACATTTAAAAAACTTAAAATTAGATCATTTATGCAGAGGCAAGGTGACAGGGAAGCAAGCGTAGCTCTTGAGGGCTAGTGTTTTTTTGACTGCTGAAGCATAAATATGTCTCAGTGTGAGGAATCTGTGGTTCTGCTCCACGTCTGCAGTGCAGAGAAAGTATGTGTCTTCAGAGCGACAGAATAGTGCTTGGCCAGCAGAAAGGCGCAGCAGTATTCTGTGTGAAATGCAACTCAGCAGTGCATCGCTGCAGGTCTGAGAAACGAGGGGGAAATATATCGGGAGAAGCTTATCGCAGTGACAGGGTCGTTTGTCTGCTGGAAAGTCTGGCTGTCTCTCTCTTTCCCGCTTTCTCTCACACACATAAAACATTGCCTTCAGAGCAGGTGATGAGGTCCGCTCAGAGTTTCTGTGGCCATGAGCTTCTTGCCTGTCGCTGCTGCTTCAACAGATGGAGCCGAGTGTTGGGAAGGGCTGGGTTGGATGATCTAATTTTGGTGCTGAAGATCAGTCCATCTACTCTACAGTATAAAGTGTGTGAGAAGCAGCATTTGGTGGATTCTTGAATCTTGGCACTATACAATTAATTTTATAGCACAAGTATGATGTACTAAAATAAAACTTTATATATTTTTTTAAAAATAAATCACTATTATTGATATAACTCAATTGATTTCTTCTGAAGGTTACATTGTTAAGCCAGTAGGTGGCGACAGGTGACTGTATATTTGTTTGACATGAATTGTTTGGTTAAACAATTTGTTCAAAAACATTGATTCAATCAGAAACAAAACAAGTGACTCATTGAATAAGTTAGTCAACAGACTTGTTCAAAAGTGCTGAACTATATGAGTCATTGAATCACTCTTTTGACTGCTTAGTGCAATATTCAGGAACAAACTAGTGAGTCATTGAACTATTCAGTCAACAGATCTGTTCAAAAACAGTGACTGATTCAGGAACAAAACAAAAAGTGAGTCGTTGAATCATTCATTCAACTGATTCACTTAAAATGCTGTTTTCAGGAACAAAACAAGTGACTCTCTAATTTAGTGAGTTATTGAATCATTCATTCAACTGATTTATTTATTTTTTTAAAACCTGATTCAATCAGAAACTAAATGAGTGAGTCATTAAACAGATTCTTTCAAAACACTGACATATTTAAAGTATGAGTTAACCATCAAATAATTCAGGCAACAGATTTGTTTAAAAACTGACTAATTCAGGAACCAAACAATGTGAGGCTGAGACATTGAATCACTTATTCAACTGCTTTGTTCAATATTCAGACACATTCAAGAACAAAACAGACTAATGAGTCATTGAATCATTCAGTCAACCGATTTGTTCAAAAACACTGATTGATTTCAGGAGCGAAACAATACGAGTGATTCATTAAATCATTCTTTCAACCAATCTGTTCAAAAACACTGATTGATTCAGGAACAAAACAAAAAGTGAGTCGTTGTATCATTCATTCAACAGATTCGTGAAGTGGCTCCAAATTGTCATTGAATCACTGATTCATTTAAAAACACTGATTTATTCAGGAATGAAACAATATGAGTGAGTCATTCAACAGATGGGGTCAAAACATGGACATATGTAGGAACGTATAACTGAGTCATCCAATCAACTGATTTGTTCAGAAACATTGATTCAGAATGTGAACCCTGTAAGTCTAAAATGTGCTCAGTATTAACTTGTCATTAATCTCTTGTATAGGCTAAAAAGTAGAATGTTTTTATTAGTAAAAGGCTTAATCTTAGCGTCAAGTTTGACTGTGGTGAAAATGTCAAGAGAGGTGGCAGATGGAGGAGGCAGAATGGGATGTTAGGAGCAGATGCCTGTGCCAATCAATCTAAAGAGAGTAGCTTACCTAATGAAATACTTTCCAGCCGCTGACATAGACTGAGCCAAGAGAATCTCAATGTGTGTATATGAAACGTATTACACAGCTTTATTACGTTGCCAAGCATCAAATTTATGTGTATAAATTGCAATACCATACATGTCTGCTCTTTATTTTATTTAAAATATTACTTTTACTAACTTCTCATCGCTGACTCCACCCCGTCTTCCTTTCCCCCAGCTGAGTGCAGAGAATGTGTCGTCTGACCTGTTGCTGTCCATCAGCCTGGTGTCTGTGGCTCTGTTGCTGGTTCTTTTTGGCGTGGCCACAGCTTTGGTCATCACGCTGAACCGACGGGCCACACGAGGCACTTACAGCCCCAGTCGACAAGAGAAGGAAGGCTCAAGAGTGGAGATGTGGAACATTGTGCAGCCTCCACCAATGGAGAGACTCATCTGAGCCAATCATCCAACAATCAGCCAGTCACGTTGTTTGTGGCTTGTTGGTTTTGCAAAACGATGGGAAAAGGCATATTCATTCATTGATCATGTGGTAGCTATGGTCAGCTGGATAATAGAATTATAAATGATCATTTTGGTTGGACAATCTCCCATTTATAACATAATGTGATGAACACCTATTATTGGTATATACCTCCGAAGAGCTTTAGGACTCATTGACTGGTAAATTGTGAAGCATTCTTAATAATAGGTGCGTCAAGACAATGCTGCTCAACAATCACAGCTAATCAGAAGATATTTAATAGAGTTCGGGCCAATGTGATTTCAGTGGTTTATCACGGCTACTTGCAAGAAATGGAATAGTGTTGCATCGCGCCTGGTCAGGACTTGTTAAGGTCATATATTTACGTGTTCATGCTGCCAGTGAACTATAAAAGTAACATGCAGAAAAAAAACTACTCATGCACACACATTTTCACGAGATATTGCCGTTTCCGATTCCTGTATAGTTTTACTGTGCGCATGCGTAAAAGTTTCTCCTACGTGTGTCAAATGTTGTCACTTTAGTTCTGTAATAAAAATACTTGAATTCGTTAAGTAAATTTTATTTTCATCAACATCAACACTTGAACTGATAGCATAGAAACACAAACGTGGATTTGTTATAATGTGATGCGGTTGTTCTGTAAAGAAAATTGATTTGTGTCGATATTAAAAACAATAGTTTTACTGATCACCTGTTTACCTATATATTTTACAAAAGATTTATACTTTAAAAGGGGTCATATGATGCGATTTCAATTTTTCCTTTCTCTTTGGAGTGTTACAAGCTCTTGGTGCATAAAGAAGATCTGTAAAGTTGCAAAGACTAAAGTCTCAAATCCAAAGAGATATTCTTTATAAAAGTTCAGAGTCAACCACGCCTACCTAAAACGGCTCGTTCTAACACGCCCCCACATGTCTACGTTACTATGTGGGAAGATTTGCATAACGCCGCCCAAATGTTCACAAGAAAGAAGGAGTAACTTTTATTCTCGCTGTAGTATTGTTGTTGCCACCATGTCGTGAAGGCGCTGTGTGTTTCATTGTGAAAGCAAAACTACTTTGTTTGGCCTTCCAAAAGAGGACGATATCTGCTTCGTCATGCCTGGAGCTGATCCGTGCTGGTCGCTGAGGAAATACATCAATTTCGCACTGTGGATCGCTGGATCGGCTTTCACCGTGGATGAAGCGAAGTCCAGCCCGGGGTCGTCACACGTGGTTGCCGCAAGCCTGCCCACCGTCGCTTACTCTAGCCGGCCTCTGCTCACTCTAGGCCTCTACTCACTCAAGCCCGCCGTGTGTGATGCTGTGTTTCATTGTGAAAGCGAAACTACTTTGTTTGGTCTTCCAAAAGAGGACACAACTAGAAATCAGTGGTTAAGTTGTATTTATAGCACTGTTCCAGAACAGTTCAACCCAAATATTCAGATGTGTGCAGCGCATTTTATGGAGAACTGTTTCCTGATCCTGGGAGAGTAGACTACAATGCCAGCTGTTCTGACTCACGGACTGTAAGTAAGTTTTTTATATTTAAAGAATTTGCCACTGATGATTCAAACGCGAGTTTTGAGCAGTGTAGAGTAGCATTTGTAGTTTGTCATGCATCCTGTCAATCATATATCTATAAACAAGTTATTAGGCAAAAAAAAAAAAATACTGATTTTCTACTATTATTTACTATCATACAGTATTTCAGGTTTCGGTTTGAGTACCAATATTATGTGATTTGGAAACCATAATTAAAAACTCTAAACTAAATACTATAGTACCAGTAATACATATAAGCCTAAAATTACCTAAACCTAAAATTAGCATCATGTGCATTAAGGTGTAGCAATATTTACCATTATTATTATGGATTCAAAACGTTGATCAACAGAAAGTTGATTGATTTTAAAGTGACTTCAAAGTGAGCTGTGGTTCATACGTCGCTACACTATTGACAGTGGACCTTTTTTGCCCACAAAATTTCGCTAATCTGACCACACCTTTACCCATAAAGAGCTGCTGTCTATGTAGAGTGTATTAAATCAGTTATGTATGAGATTCCATTTATGAGTTAGAAGGCAGCTGCCTAGCATTTGAAACAATTATTCAAGCAGATGAATTCAGTTAAGGCACAACCTTGCATTTAAATAGGAATGGGGGTCAATTTCATTTCAAAGCTTTCCTTAAGTTGCTGATTGTTAAAAATAGTACACAATAGAATATCTTCCCATTTACAAGAAATACCTTTGAGCAATGTTAGCAAAAACAATTAACATTTTAAAGTGCAAAGAATATGGAAGCTTCCTGTTTTTGCCACGTTTAAAACAACAACAAAAACAAAACAAAAAAAGGTAAATGCGATTTTATCTCACAATTCATGTTACTCAGAATTGCGGGATATAAACTCAGAATTCAGACATTTTTCCTCACAATTGACCCTTCGCGGAGCAAAGAAAACTGACAACGTGCGACAGACAAGACAGAGCAGGTTACTTTAGGTATGAAACAAAGTCTCAACTTTCAAATTTTGTCATTTTGTAAGAAATTCAAACAATAAATACTGTTTTGTGGCTCTTTAATGTGTCGTGACAGATCGCTGTAGCGCCTCAGTTCAAGCGGCACGTGAACCGATAATTTCTTCCGCTTTACTAGTTATTGTGCAAAATAAACATGAATGAATATCAGAAGGTATCTTGTTTCAACCAATGAAATATGTCAATACACACCATTTTTCAAGTTTAAGTCCACCAACGTTAATCTACTCTCCTGTCTGGTTTGTTTGCCAGACAAAATGACAGATTCAGCGTTATGATCGGTCAGATTGCCTGTCAATCAAACTCAAGTTTACATCTTGAAATTATCATCATTATAGTTTTTCTCAGAATTCCGAGTTAACATCTCGTTTTTTTTTTTCCTGCCATAGAATAAAAAAGGTAATTATTATTCATTATTATCTCACAAAAAAGTCATAATTGTGAAATAAAATGTCACAATTACCTTTAAAAAAAAAAATCCTGTGGTGGATTGAAGCTTCCATAGAATAGTTACTTAAGCATGACATCTTGCATTTCACCTTTTACTTATTTTATTTATTTTTCATATGCATATAATCAGTGTTGACATTGTTACTCCAACCACATGTCCTGCATGTCTTGTGGGTACCGAGCAAAAACTAAACTGGACTAAAAGCCAAAAAACTCTAGTTTGTATTTAATAGAGGTTTTACAAAGTGAATAAATAACATAATGGCAATTTAAGTTGATTGATAACACTGATTTTGCATAGTTCATCAGGATATCTGATTTGTTCAAAGGCTGAAGCATATATAATTTCTGGACAGCTTTGAGTTAAGCCGCTACGTTAAGAAGCCTAGCTTGATTTGAGATGGGGTCCTAAACTTTGAATGTTTTTACAGCCATATCGTTACCACATCAGATTACGCAGGAGGGGTGAGGAGAGTCATTAAAGTGTCAGACAGAATGGCACATGTCCTAAATCACTCTGCTCAACGACCTAAATAATTCATCAGCCACTAAAGAAACAAGTGCTGGATCTAATGACCACTTCCTGTTTGGTGTAGCAATACAGTTTTGAAGGTGACATCCACGGCTGATATAAATGAAATGAGCGAAACAGAAGACAAGGCAAATCTTTCCGTAACTGAAACGACCGGCAAGCAGTTCTGTTGAGTTTTTTAATGTGCAAATGTTAGTATTCAAGGGAGCTAGTTATGTTCAAATGTCTAGCTAGCTATAAGTCGAAAGTTTAACTTTGTAACTTGTTTAGCAAGATTAACTTCAAATCACCATGAAAGTAATTCAGGTGAAAGAGAAAACTGGCTATAGATGAAGATGCCCTGCATTTAAATATGCTTACTTACCTACTATATAGTAGGCGAAAAATGGTACACGAAGAGTAGTACGACTGAATTCATCGTATTTATAAAACAACTTTTTTTATTAAAAAAAAGTACCCAGATTACTCACTACTTCTTGCAATATTTTGAAGTGCATATTCAATGGATCATTTATTACCCCTTGAGGCCACGGAAGAGGAGTCGCAAATGGCAGTGAAGCGACGCAAACATCGTAAGTCACATGACAATGACAAAAGGGCGGATGTAGTACTACACACATTCATACTATAGAGAACATGCTTTTTTGAAGGTTGCGAAATTTGTCCCTCATAAAATATAGTAGATACTCAGTATGCAATTTCGGATGCATCTAGTTTACGATAATGCTGCTACAGCACCTCTTGTGGGAACGCTGAGAATGCAACATGTACTTGTGTTACGTTACAAAATTTTACAACTTTGTGTGAAATTGAGCCTTTAGCTAGAAGCGTTTGTGCTCTCGTACTTGCGTAGAGTATATTTCTGGCCTTCGTTCAGAATAAGACAATAATAAGGGGTTTAAAACATTTATTTATCAGTAACAAGTATTCCTCTTTGCACTGGGCATCAGCAGCACCAGTATTTTCACAATGAAATATCAATATACTAAGTTTATTCATTCTTAAAAAACATAATTGGGATTTTTCGGTATTTTCGATTTTGTCTAAGAAATTAAAATGCTAACGTCTCATCTTGGATAAAAGCATAAACCTGAGAATTGTCTTAAAAAAATACTTATTTTTTCTTCAAAAATATAGCAAATTGAGAACCAGTTGTCCACCTGGCCTAGATAAATATCTCTTTAAAAGACGTGTCGCATGCAAAAGACAGTGATAGTAGTTAGCAAGCTAGCCAGCTACAGTGGCACAGTCAGGAAATACTGTGTAAAAGCAAATTAAATCTGTTTAAGGCATTATATTAAGCTGAGATTTGCTCGCTATTTAAATACTTTCGTACGATTTAGTAAAATATACAGGGGGAAATCCATCCCTCATCCACAGTGATTTATCGAAACAGTGATTTGAAACTACGCAAGTGCAATCATCTGCTGAAATAAATAAAACTTGATGTTGAATGCTGACATAAATCCCTTTAAACCAACCACCTTTCCAACCACCAGTTCTGAATGATACCGTTTGTTGTTTCGGACCGAATGTAAGAAATAAGAGGACCGAACATTCACATTAACTACAAAACACCTTTGCAAACACTTCATGCAAAGAGTGCTGGTGTGACATCAGAGGACAGCGTGAATACGAAAAGAGAAAGGTTAGACGTGAGTGTTGTGCCGTTTTCTCAGGATTTGTCCAGGCTGGTGTTGTTTCGGATGTGTGTGAGCTCCTGGTTGCTTTTGAGGGCCGTGCTCATGCGACACATGGACTCAATCTCCTCCAGCAAGCCTTTCTCCTGAGTCTCATTCCCTCTTTCTTCCATATTTGTCTCCTGGGGCTGTTTTTCCCTCTCCCACGGAACGAGGACCGAATGTTGCCTGCTTGCTGCCTTCTGCTGGGCATGTTCCTGGGATGGCCTCTGGGTTTTTCTTGAAAAGACCTTCTGTCGGGAGAGGCTGCGGCCTGCTGGTTGTCGGTTGTCTGGGCTCAGCTGGGAACTGCAGGGTTTGTCCGTGTCGCAAGGTACCGAGAGTTGAATTTTGGGTGTCTCAGGGAGAGAGTTCCTCGGGTTCTCTTCATTGGTGAGGTCATTGGGAAGGGGAGGACGGACAGGAAGGGAACGGGAGCTGGCTTGGCGTCGAGGCGAAGGTGGGAGATGCTTACCATGGACGACGCTGTCATCTTGACCCATATTCCATCCGCCTTGTTCTCCGTTTTCTACTTCACAATCGACCTGAGCAGGGCTACTTCCCAGTGGGGACTTGCGATTTTTCTGGAAACAGTACAAATGACAAGATCACAAGGCTATGCCGTTGTTCATGCACACAAAGCTTTGAAGTCAACATAAAATCAGTACCCTATATACTTCTAAAAGTAACTTCTGAATCTAATAGTACAATTTTGGAATAATTCAATGGTAAAAATTGTTATTTCATGCTGAAAAAAAAAAAGTTATATTAAAATGTAAAAGTTTTATGACGGACAGATCGTTAATGTCTGCTCTTTGTGGTAATATGGTACATCGGGCAGGACATCCAAATGCTCGCCTATCATTCATCGACCTCAAACATGGCTTATCATCTGAAATATGTAAGTATTAGCAACTTTACCTGGCCGCTCAATCTAATGTTAACCTAGAGAAATGTGCACTATTGTGTCTGTGCGAAGTGAGGAAGCTGAACAGTAGCGTGGAGGCGCCGGTGCGCTCACTTGCTCTTAAAATACTCCCTCATTTTTGCTCATACAGATAAGAGTAATCTTTCAAATCTGTAAAGACTCTACGTTTATTTGTGTGCACTCACAATAACAACAAAACACGCTTTTGTAAAATAATGAAAGCAAACAGGATGCGCTTTCTGCCTTCTTGGTCTGTGAACTTGAGCGCGAAACTTAGAAACTCTGTGTATATCTTTGCCTTACAGACATTAAAAATATATCTATAGAGAGTGAAATGTCTACTTTCAAATGAAACAATTTAAATGGAAAAGAAATATTCTCAGATTATGTAATCACTACTAGGGCTGCCACTAACGACTATTTTCATTTTGATTAATCTATCGACTAATTTATCGATTAATCTAAACGATTAATTTCCCACAAAAAAATCAACAATTTTACTTAAGAATATTTTATTAAACCAAATGAAATCCAAATTTCTATGAAATCCTTTTTTTAAAGCAAAAATAAAGTGCATCCATCTCACAGTCCAAATCACTGAAATCAAAATTCAGTATTATAGTGTAAGAATGACAACATATCCACGTGTTCTAGTCTACTACTAATAAAATTATAATAAAAAACACTTTTAAAGGAGTATTTACCAGAAATTTTATTTACCACAATTTATTTAGGAGAAAAATTTAAATGTGCAGTATTTCTGAAAAAAAAAAGATTTTTTAAAAAAATTAATTAATTAATTAATTTATAAAATCAATGAATTGGAGATGCTTTTGATTTCTAAAATTTAATGAAACCATTAAAATGCAATCCAGAAAATAATGGAAAACAGAATTTGGTAAAGATAAAACTGTAAAACTCAATTAATTAGAATTTAAATTAAATTAAAATTAAATTTTACCATTAAAACAGAGTATAGAAAAATGAAAATGGAACAAAACTGAATTTGGAAATAAAACGGATTTCATAGGGCCCTACAATTATAATATTTTTTTTT